AAAGAAGCCGCTGTAATTCGGGGGGGGGGGGGGGGGGGTCAACTTTATTGAAGACATTCAACAGACCCCAAGCACTGCCTTCTGTGGGCCAGAATCCTGGCCCAAGATTAGGCTCGCCAGGTTTCAGGAATAAGCAAGCTGTATTTCCCTTCACCTTCCCACGGGAGAAGGTGGGACTTCGCTATGGTCTCCAAGCCAGCGGCTCAGAGTTTCTTATCATTCTGGTATCACGTGGGAAAAGTGAGAGAGCACCTGGGCGGCCATCAACTCCCAGAATTCCCCAGCCAGCGTGGGCTTTGCCGAGAACTCTGGGTTGAAATCCATTTACGGGGACAGTGCACTGGTTGGAGAAGGTGGCCGCAGAGGTTATCTAGCTCGGGTGGGGTAAGTAACCCAAGGCATAAAAGACACAGTGTCCTGAATCTGCTAATACCACCAGTCCCGCTCTGCCATGTGAGGCCACAAAAACACTCCCAGAAGTAACTTCTGTCACTTGGATACTAACATAAGAAGGACTGGGCCATGAATCCGCTGGAAGGTATTACAAAGGGTAAAAAAGCTCCTTTGATGACGTGCAAACGATGCAGCGCCAATTCTTCCGCCCCTCATCGTACACGCTGTGATGTGCTACAAACACATTTTGGTTTGCTGGTCTGGTTTTTGTGCCTTTGAGTCAACCCTGACTCCTGGCGACTGCCTGGACCGGTCCCTGCAGTTTTCTTGGCAAGATCTGAGAAAGAGGTTTGCCCCGGCCTCCTCCTTCCTGGGGCTGAGAGAGAGAGAGAAGGACTGGGCCACGGTCACCCTGCTGGCTTCGTGCCTAAGGCAGGGCGAGGACTCACAGGTCCCCGGTTCCTAGCCTGCTGCCTCTAACCATTAGACCAAGTTAGCTCTCAAAAGTGGTTTAGTTGCCCAATAAATCCATTTAGAAATCCTGGCTGTTGCATCCCTGCCTTCACAAGGTGAACGGGAATCAAACGGGAATCCAGCCTGCCTGCTGAATGCCCTCGGATGATGACAATCTGCAGAAGGTAATCTTCACCTGTACCAACCCAGGTGGGAAGGAAGGATCAGGAGACCAGAGAACTACTTGGAGGATTTGGAAAAGTATTATTATCATGGATATTAAGGACTGGATTCAGGACATATGTAATTTATCCATTTTTGAAAAGGCAATCTTTTCTGCTAGCCAAAAAATGATGTGATATTTATTTATTTATCTAATTTGTACGGCCGCCCATCTCACCAAGTGACTCTGGGCGGCAAACAAAATTTAGAAAATAAAAACAATTAAAATGATACAAACATTAAAATACATCGCAGCTGAGAATAAAGCATCCGTTATAATGACTAAATGATTCCCTTTGGCGCAGATTTCATGGTTTGTTACTACAATAGGTTTATTCTTTTAAATTTGAAATCTTCATATATTGTTTAATATTTGATATGTAGGTTCTATGCTTAGATGGCTTAGAATTATCTTTTTCCTTTTTTTTTGTTTCACTAGTTACTGTTTACCATTGATGATGTTCTTTTTTTTAAATTTCTATTTACAGTTTGCTTTTGTACTTTTTTGGTAATTAGTTGGGGAGGTGTTATTTTATTCATTTATTTATTTTATTTATATATCATTTATATAGCTGCCCATCTCACACAAAGCGACTCTGGGCAGCATACAACAATTAATGAAATAACAAGTGGATTAAAAAACAGGCATATAAAAAGATAAAAAGTTATTAAAATAAAAACATTATCACAAATTTAAAAAATAGGTTTTAAAATATAAAAAACAGAAAAGGTTGGGGTATTATTGTGTATTTCTTTCTTAAATTTGTAATAAAAATAAATACCTTATTTAAAAAAGGAAGGATTGGGAGAAAAAGGCAGACTTATGATAAGGAGTCTCGCCAGCCGAGCCGCAGGCCCCCGTGTCCAGGGCCAGCTGTGTCATTGCAGTTACCTGTGACAACCAGGTGGAAATCTTTACGCCTCCCTCCACGCAGAGCCAGACAGGTGTATATTCCTTCGTCCGATTGCTGGACTCCTTTAATTGTCAGCTGAAACAGCTCACTGGTCTGGCGAATCCAATGGCGGGACTCCTCCAGCCCCAGGGTCTGGTTGTCCTTAAGCCAGAAAAGCTGGGCAGGAGGGTTGGCCTTTATGTGGCAACTGAGTGTCGCATCCCACCCTTCAGGGGTAGCTGAAGGGTCTTCTCCACTTAGGATGGGGAGGTCTGTGGAGCACCAGCAAACGGGTCAATGAAGACAATGCAGGGTCTGCAGGTGCCTTGGATCCCACCCAACCTCTCTCCCCCTGTGCCCTCCTGGACAGCCCCCATACATACAAAAGTGGGAGCGGGGAGATCAACTTTCTCTGGTTCCCTACCACCAGGTCCAAATGGGAAAATACAAATAATTACAAAGGCCCTCATCAGATTTAAATATCAATAAGCCTTTTTGTGGGGGGAGGGGACACCTTTTTGGCAATCTTGCTGAGTGAGAACCCAGCCTCCCATCCTTCCTCGGACCCCAGTGGCCAACCACTCACACGTGACGTTCATAAGCACGGAGATCTGGACAGATTTGTTTCGGGCCAACTGGCAGGTAAAAGAAACGCCGTTGTCATCCTCAGTGACGGGGGAGATGCAGATGTTGCTGGCGTTCACTTTGTTCCCGTCCTTCAGGCCGACTTCTCCGTGTCCTCGCAGCCACAGCAATTCCTCTTCCTGGGTGTGATCCTGAACGGTGCACCAGAGCGACTGGGTCAGGCCCGGCTGTGTCGCCAGCTGGTAGTCAGCAGTGTTGGAGTTGATGGCCAGCTCTAGACCTGAGGGGAGGAAGGGGTTACCCAGATTCCCTGCGGGCAGGATTGGCCGGTCCCGTGAAGAAATGGCTTTTGAGGGGCAGAAAGGCAGCATCTGTTCTCAGCTGGTCAGTTGCAAACATCAGTGGCTCCAGACTTCGGTGGGAGGGATGAGGGCGGAAAGGACTTAGGCCCCCCCTCAGCATACAGAGTCCCACTGACAGCTGGCCCGTTGGACGCAGGGCTCTGCTTACCTGTGACGGTGCATGGCAGAAGCGCCACGAGGAGGAGGAATGTTCTGTGAAGGACGCCTTCCATCTCCCACACACGCTGCCCAGAGCCCGCCTGCGGTGGAAAAGAGACAAGAGGTGGCCTCTTACTGCCTCCATGGAGTTGAAGGGGCTCCCCAAAGCCACCCACCACCAGCCTTCCCAGCCACACACCCGGGAGAGAAGGGCTTCAACCGGTCCAATTTTCACCCCAGAAAATGATCTGCCGATAAATTCCACACACTCCTGTCCCCCGTGGGCCTGGTGCCCTCCACGGGAATCCCGTTTTTTCCTAATCCGTCTCCCACCCAGGCCATCAAAGCTGACACTCACGTAGACCACAGGCACCGCTGGTCACTCGTCTGAAAAAAGGAGAGGCGGCTGCGACCTCCCGGCTTTTATAGGCATCCCAGTTATATGTCTTTATTGCAGCGCCTAGAGAAGTGAGTCAGGTGTGCTGAGTTCAAGGTGTTACCCATTTCAAGGACTTTCTGGGTAAACACTCGGTGCTTCTCCTAAGAAGAAGCTGGACAGGGTTGTTACTGCTTTATGGGCCTGGCTGGGACAATGAGTAACAAGCGTCACGCTGGGTGAACAGAACTGATTTTGACCTGGCGGGCAGCGAGAAACCTTCTTACAGACTGAACTTTATCATCCGAAGCGGAATAGAAGCTTAACAGAACGAAAACCAAGAGGTAAGTCCTACAGAGCTATCAAAAGTCCTGTTTTGGAAGAGCCCAAGACCTCAGCTGTAGGACGCCTGTCAGCTTACAGACCTCCCTGCCTCTTCCCTTAGCCGAAGTCAAACCTGAATCCAATAATTGCCATCCTTGGCCAGGCCCCCAAGCCCCACCCTCCGCAAAAGGCACCCCACCTCTGTTCCCACCCCCACAACCACTAACACATCCAGCAGAATAGCTGTGAAATATTCATTCTAACCTGTGATGGAATGTTGTTATGAAGGCCACGCTCAGGGAGATAAGCGTTTCCTTAGCCCCCAGCAGGAGCATGGGAAGTTTAAGGAGATGAGGCTGGCACCTCCCTAAGGAATTCATGGTGTTGTGGATTGCTGGCTTGGGAATTTGGGTTCAGTCTGGAAAGATTCCTGTCATGAGGTGGAAGCTAATAAACACAACAGAACTGTATTTGCACTGTCTCGTGGAGTTCTTTGGGCTGAACTTGACATAACCACACACAGAGCCACAGATGGGGTCTTTTTCCTTTAGGAGCTTGGATAGGAGCTGCCATGATGTCGCCCATGTATTCCTCGCATCATCATCATCATCATCATCATAATTTATTGAACTTGCACACTGCCCGATTCTCAACGACTCCGGGCAGCTCACAACAATCAAAGAAATTACAGTAAAACATAAAAAATAAAGGAAAAAAGATATAAACCTGTTTAAACTAAACCACCAGAATTCTCAGTAAGAATAAAAGACCAAGGAGCCCCCGACCCTCATTCTTCGGCCTACCCCCCTCCACAAGGTTCTGGACTCCGCTGATGAAGCCGGCAGCTGGAGAAGATTCCCCCGGTCCATCTGCAACTGGGGACAGTATTTCACTTGGTTGGTGGCTTTATATCTCCTTTGGGGTTTGATACATCAACTGCTTAACCTGGATGCATCTTAACGCACTGGCTTGATGGCACTGAAGCAATCTATCTTAGTATCTGTATGATTATTTAAATTATAAGTTTTTTCAGTGCAAACTCTTTGGATGTGATCTGCTTTGGCATGGCGTGATGGGAAACAAAGGGATGAGGAGGGGGTTGTCCTCAGCTGGGGGCACAGGGCCAAATCCAGACACTCTGGAGGGAAGCAGCCAGGGGAAGTCAGCAAGGGACCACCCACCTCTTCACAATTGATCCCAGCTCTTGAGGAGGGGGAAAGGGCTTCCCTCAGACAACTTTTATTATTGTGAAAAGCACACCCCATCTGTTTGCATGAATGGCCAAGGCAGCTTACAACAGTTTAAACAAATACTAAAGAATGTCAGATCAATACAATTAAATTCGGAACCATGAAACTCAACAGTTCAAAGCTTGGTGAACGTGACGCACTTTTGCCATTTTCTAAACATTGGTAGAATGGGGGTCAAACGCGGCTCTTCAGGGATCAGATGCCACGGCCTGGGAGCCACACAGAAGGCGGCCCTTTTCCTCAGACCGGACAGCCGAGCTCCTGGCGATGCCGGCATCTTCCGAAAGGCCTCTCCTGCTATCTGTCCAGCCTGGCAGGTCCACAGCCAGCAAGGCAGCCCCTCCAAGAAGTCTGACGCGGCTAATAATGAAATCATCAGCATCCCCATCTTTAATTTTGTGGCTGCTTCTCTTCGGAACGGAGGGCGCCACTAGAGGGAGCAGCAGTTCAGGAGTCGGAACTGTTCTTTTGCAAACCAATTTTAATCCCCAAAGCTACTCCTACCTCTGCAGGTGAGCATGAGTTGCAATGCTGTGTTGTCATACCTGTTATCAGGTAGTTTCCTCAGACCACAGGGAAGTCGACTTTTTCATAAAAACAAAGAAAAAGCACTGCTTCTTCTTGCGTGGATGACTTTTGCACTGCAAACAGGGTGAGGGAACAACCCGTGGACATTGTTTTTCAAACTTGGCAAACCTCTTAAAATTAGGTGTTGTTCTCCCTCTACCTCCACCCCCACCCACACACACAGCGCCGGGTGTCGGCTGGGTTCCGGTTTTTA